TATGTGATGTAGTAATTGATATAATATATTGACACAGATTAGAATGTTATACATGTTAAAGTAATTTATATAATACATGGACATACATTAGAATGTTATATGTAATGTAATAATTGATAAAATATACGGTTAACATTAGAATTTTATATGTGATGTAGTAATTGATATAATATATGGACACAGATTAGAATGTTATACGTGTTCAAGTAATTTATATAATACATTGACATACATTAGAATGTTATATGTAATGTACTAAATGATATAATACATGGTCATATATTAGAATTTTATATGTGATGTAGTAATTGATATATTACATTTCATACATTAGAATGTTATATGTGATGTAGTAATTCATATAATACGTGAACACACATTGGAATTTTATATGTGTTTTAGTAATTGATATAATATATGTGCATACATTATAATGTTATAGGTGATGTATTAGTTGGTATAATACATGGACATACATTAGATTGTTATATGTAATGTACTAATTGATATAATACACGGTTAACATTAGAATTTTATATGTGACTAGCTGTGTACCCGTCTTTCGTACGGGTTGTGTGTATAAATAATACATTAATTTAACAATTAACAAACAAATTACTTGTACATTATTTACATTACATTTTAAATTTTTTATTGTATATTATTATAACAATTAAATATAAGTTAACAAAATATATTGTGGACCATGTATTAACTGCGTCATTTAGAAAAAACGGAAAATGTCAAATTGTGATGAGTTGTACTTGTGTGAAAAAATTAGTTTTTATTTACCGAAGAGCCTCTTGATAGACGACATTGGAAGTACGTCTATCTGGGGCATGGATAACTAGGCTGCTAGAAGATCTGACTCTTGAGCAGGCTACATATAGCTGCCCGTGCACTCAGATCCATTGAGCTCTACCCCGGCAGCGGACAATGTCTGGCCCTGTGAGTTGTTGATAGTCATTGCAAAGCAGACTCTGACCAGGAACTGAAGCCGCTTGAGCTCAAACGGGTAGTTGCTTGGGATCAATGGGATGCGCGGTGTGAAGACTGACTCTCCAACATCACAGCCAGTGAGGATGTCTGCCTCGATGGCGTATCTTTGCAGACTATGGACCCGAAGCTGCGTTGCATTGCACAACTTGGGAGCGTTTAAGTTGCAGAGGAGCATTATTGGAGCTCCGACCTTAAGCATGAGCTCGTGGGCAAGTAATCCGTGTACTGTTACTGAGTCGAGGAACTCTGCCAGGTAGTGAACGGCGTCATCCTGGTTAAGAACTGTGTTAACAGGTTTACACTTTCGTTCCTCGCTCTGGAAGAAAGATATCACCTTCTTGTTGATCTCCGTTGTTTGTTCATTGGTGGACGTGAGGATGGCACGATCACAGAGCCAGGCACTTTCCAAGTTGAGCAGTTCATGAACCCGGGGAAAACACTGTCGATCATTTGTTCCTGTGATTCGACGATTGTGCCGAGTGAAGGAGGGATGTTTATGAGACCATCAGTGTTTTCCAATGTCCCGTCCCCAACTTGCAAAAGGACCTCAGAAAACTCCTCAACCCCTTGTTCTTCCCCAAAACGAACTCTCATATTTATTGTTAAGGAGAGACGCTCAATGGTCGACCACATAAAAGATCTTTTTAGAGAGGCTTTGATCCCGTCCATCCACGTCCCACACACTACAACGGGCAGAGTCTGTCTGAAACCTCCAGAGAACAACACCGTGACTCCCCCCATAGTCTTGTTGTTGTTTCTTATGTCCTTTAAGGTGCGGTCTAATGCCTCAATACTCAGTTTGTGGGCCATGGTGCATTCGTCCCACACTATGATGCTCCATTTCAAGGAATGCTCCAATGGCCCAAGTGATCCGAGAATGCTCACCACTGGAAACTCCATATGGTCGACATTGATGGGTATCTTAAACATTGAATGAGCAGTCCTCCCAACAGGTAGTAAAGTAGTTGCAATGCCTGAAGAAGCTACAGCTAGAGCGATTTAATGCTCACCTCGAACTTGTGCTAGAATCAGGTTTATGAGGTACGTCTTTTCAGTTCCTCCAGGAGCTTCAAGAAAAAAGGTCTTGTGATCTGTTGGACTGTAGATGCTAGAAAGAACATGGTCATAGACTTGACGCTGTTCGTCTGTGAGCATCGGGTAGTTCTGCTCAACAAAGTTTAGAAGTTCAGGATGGTTGTAGCTGGTCTCCCTGATGTAATCAATATTTAACTGATGAACTGCTCTGGCCGGCACAGGTAGGTTATAATTGTCTAACCGCAGACCACCAATACGGGTAATGATCTCCTGCATGTTTGTCAGGCACAAATCCTACAGGTTAGGAGCATTGTCGTACGTTGTGTTAACGTACACCTGTTGAGCTGCTCTAAAAAAGACAGGGAGTCTCTCAACCTCATCCAGAGATCGAGGGGGTTACTCAAGTTGCAGAACACCACCAGGACACTAAAGAGATCTCTCAACTTGCGAGGGCTCTCAGAAACGGCAGCCTCCCTGAACGTTTCCTACCAACAGGCTTCATCCTCCAAGAGTCCAATGGCCCGGCAAGCAGACAGGAAAGTAGGGTACAGTTTACCACGGACCGTCTTTAGGTCGTTGACAGAGATAGGGCCTCGAACAGAGTGTAGACGCAGGTGAAGGTGGTAACGCTCACTGCAGCTAGGATGGATGGTGTATACTCTTCTGATTCATGAGTCTCGCCTTACATTGGGATGACCCGCCACTGGTTGTTCTCTAAGTCTCCTAGCCCAACCTCTTTGTCTCGAGTACGTAAAATAGGAAGGTACTTCATTGTAAAGAAGTGTCCTGGCAAAAGCATCTGACTAGCAGAGATCAAAGAATGCCAAAAGAGTTGTGTTACGCTCCATTTGTTCCCTGACATTGTCTGGCTGAAAGTAGACTCGCTGTTCGTCTGGCAGGTGGACTTCCAGGTGCGAGACAGCAGGGAACCTCTCATGTATAGGGAAAGACAATATTCGCCACACTACCTCAAATTTGCAGCTGTAACGTCCACTCTGGTATCTCTGGATTTCATCTGTTTCGTCACTAACAGCAAACGTGGCATGGTCAGTACCCTTATTGACGTATTTACAAATGTACTTGATCGATTTGAAACTGCTACAGTACTCTATATTGACGTGGGTTTTGAACGTCTGAGATAGAACAGGAGAGTAAGGCACTACCCAACGGTTGTCCATAGGAACGTATTCACTGCCAACTTTGATGAGCACATGATGACCACCATCCTCTAGGGCACGCCTTCTGTAAGTGGGGTATCCATTATATCCTGTCCTTGTTTCACTCACAAATGGCCTAGGATACCTTTTACTGCAGTGACCATCCTTCATACAGGGCAGTTGACGTCACCTCACACTGAAAGCACCACATGAGCCGTGCAACATGTGAGTCTGGACGATGTTCCAAAGCTCAGAATCAGCTTAACCTTAATAACTAGATGTGATAACGTGGACTGTAATGACGTGTTAATATAATATACTTAACCTCAATAATTAGATGTGGTAACGTGGATTGAAATGACGTGTTAATATAATATACTTAACCTCAATAACTAGATGTGGTAACGTGGAATGAAGTGACGTGTTAATATAATATACTTAACCTCAATAACTAAATATGGCAACGTGTACTGTAATGACATGTTAATATAATATAATTAACCTCAATAACTAGATGTGGTAACGTGGACTGAAATGACGTGGTAATATAATATACTTAACCTCAATAACTAGATATGGCAATGTGAACTGTAATGACATATTAATATAATGTACTTAAACTCAATAACTAGATGTGGTAACGTGGACTTTAATGACGTGTAAATATATTATACTTAACCTCATTAACTAGATGTGATAACGTGGTCTGTAATGATGTCTTAATATAATATACTTAACTTCAATAACTAGATGTGACAATGTGGACTGTAATTACTTGTCACTGTAATATACTTAAACACAATAACTAGATGTGGTAACGTGGACTGTAATGACATGTTAATATGATATATTCAACCTCAAAAACTAGATGTGGCAACGTGGACTGTAATGAGATGTTAATATAATATACTTAACCACAATAACTAGATGTGGCAACGTGGACTGTAATGACATATTAATATAATATACTTAAACTCAATAACTAAATATGACAACGTGGACTGTAATGACATGTTAATATAAAATACTTAAACTCAATAACTAGATGTTAAAAAGTGAAATCTAATGACATGTTAATATAATATACTTAACCTCAATAACTAGATGTGGTAACGTGGACTGAAATGACGTGGTAATATAATATACTTAAACTCAATAACTAGATATGACAACGTGGACTGTAATGACATGTTAATATAGTATACTTAAACTCAATAAATACATGTGACAATATGGACTGTAATGACTTGTTACTATAATATAAATAACCTCAATAACTAGATATGGCAACGTCGACTTTAATGACATGTCAGTACAATATACTAAACCTCAGTAACTAGATGTGGTAACGTAGACTGTAATGACGTGTTAATATAATATACTTATCCTCAATAACTAGACATGGCAAAGTGTACTGTAATGACATATTAATATAATATACTTAACCTCAATAACTATATGTGGATATGTGGACTGTAATGACGTGTTAATATAATATACTTAACCTCAATAACTAGATGTAATAACGTGGTCTGTAATGATGTCTTAGTATAATATACTTAACTTCAATAACTAGATGTGACAATGCGGACTGTAATGACTTGTTAATAAAATATAATTAAATTCAATAACTAGACATGGCAACGAGTACTGTAATGACATATTAATATAATATGCATAACTTCAATAACTAGATATGACAATGTGGACTGTAATGACTTGTAATATAATATACTTAACTTCAATAACTAGATGTGACAATGTGGACTGTAATGACTTGTTACTATAATATACTTAACTTCAATAACTAGATGTGACAATGTGGACTGTAATTACTTATTACTGGTATATACATAAACACAATAACTAGATGTGGTAACGTGGACTGTAATGACGTGTAAATATGATATATTTTACCTCAAAAACTAGATGTGGCAACGTCGACTATAATGACATGTTAATATAATATACTTATCCACAATAACAAGATGTGGCAACGTGTACTGTAATGACATACTAATATACTTAAACTCAATAACTAGATATGACAACGTGGACTGTAATGACATGTTAATATAATATACTTAACCACAATAACTAGAAGTGGCAACGTGGACTGAAATGACATACTAATATAATATACTTAACTTCAATAATTAGATGTGACAATGTGGACTGTAATGACTTGTTATTATAATACAATTAACCTCAATAACTAGAAATTGCAACGTGTACTATAATGACATGTTAATATAATATTTTTAACCTCAAAAATTAGATGTGGAAATGTGAACTCAAATGATATGTTAATATAATATAGTTTAACCTCAAAAACTAGATGTGGCAAAATGTACTGTAATGAAATTTTAATATAATATAATTAACCACAATAACAAGATGTGGCAACGTGGACTGTAATGACATACTAATATACTTAAACTCAATAACTAGATATGACAACGTGGACTGTAATGACATGTTAATATAATATACTTAAACTCAAACACTAGATGTGGAAATGTGAACTCTTAACATGTTAATATACTATACTTAACCTCAATAACTAGATGTAGTAACGTGGACTGTAAAGACGTGTTAATATAATATACGTAACCTCAATAACTAGATGTGGTAACATGGACTGAAATGACGTGGTAATATAATATACTTAATCTCAATAACTAGATATGGTAACGTGTACTGTAATGACATGTTAATATAATATAACTAACCTCAATAATTAGAAGTGGAAATGTGAAATCTAATGACATGTTAATATAATACACTTAACCTCGAAAACTAAATGTGGCAACGTGGACTGTAATGACATGTTAATATAATATACTTATCCACAATAACTAGATGTGGCAACGTGGACTGTAATGGCATGTTAATATAATATACTTAATCTCAATAACTAGAGGTGGAAATGTGAACTCTAATGACATGATAATATAATATACTAAACCTCAATAACTAGATGTGGTAACATGGACTGTAATGACGTGTTAATATAATACACTTAACCTCAATAACTAGATGTGGTAACGTGGACTGAAATGACGTGGTAATATAATATACTTAACCTCAATAATTATATATGGCAACGTGTACTGTAATGACATGTTAATATAATATAACTAACCTCAATAACTAGATGTGGAAATGTGAACTCTAATGACATGTTAATATAATACACTTAACCTCGAAAACTAGATGTGGCAACGTGGACTGTAATGACATTTTAATATAATATACTTATCCACAATAACTAGATCAGGCAACGTGGACTGTTATGGTATGTTAATATAATATACTTAATCTCAATAACTAGATGTGGTTACGTGGACTGTAATGCCGTGTTAATATAATATACTTAACCTCAATAACTATGTGTGGTAACGTGGTCTGTAATGATGTCTTAACATAATATACTTAAACAGAATAACTAGATGTGGTAACGTGGAATGTAATGACGTGTTAATATGATATATTTAACCTCAAAAACTAGATGAGGCAACGTGGACTTTAATGACATGTTAATATAATATACTTAACTACAATAACTTAACTACAATAACTTAACTACAATAACTTAACTACAATAACTACAATATACTTAAACCCAATAACTAGATATGACAACGCGGACTGTAATGACATGTTAATATAATATACTTAAATTCAATAACTAGATGTGACAATGTGGACTGTAATGACTTGTTACTATAATATAATTAACCTCAATAACTAGATATGGCAACGTGGACTTTAATGACATGTTAATATAATACACTTAACCTCAATAACTATATGTGGTCATATGGACTATAATGACGTGTTAATATAATATACTTAACCTCAATAACTAGCTGTGATAACGTTGTCTGTATTGATGTCTTAATATAATATGCATAACTTCAATAACTAGATGTGACAATGTGGACTGAAATGACTTGTTACTATAATACAATTAACCACAATAACTAGATATTGCAACGTGTACTGTAATGACATGTTAATATAATATTTTTAACCTCAAAAATTAGATGTGGAAATGTGAACTCTAATGATACGTTAATATAATATACTTTAACCTCAAAAACTAAATGTGGCAACGTGTACTGTAATGAAATGTTAATATAATATAATTAACCTCAATAACTAGTTGTGGAAATGTGAACTCTAATGACATGATAATATAATATATTTAACCTCAAAAACAAGATGTGGCAACGTGGAATGTAATAACATGTTAATGTAATATACTAACCACAATAACTAGCTATGGCAACGTGGACTGTAATGACATGTTAATATAATATACTCAAACTCAATAACTAGATGTGGAAACGTGGACTGTAATGGCATGTTAATATAATATACTTAATCTCAAAAACTAGATGTGGCAACGTGGACTGAAATGACGTGTTAATATAATATACTTATCCTCCATAACTATATATGGCAACTTGTACTGTAATGACATGTTAATATAACATACTTAACCTCAATAACTAGATTTAATAACGTGGACTGTAATGACGTGTTAATATCATATACTTAACCTCAATAACTAGATGTGATAACGTGGTCTGTAAATATGTCTTAATATAATATACTTAACTTCAATAACTAGATGTGACAATGTGGACTGCAATGACATGTTAATATAACATACTTAACCTCAATAACTAGATGTGATAACGTGGTCTGTAAATATGTCTTAATA